GGGCTTGTCATCTTTGTGCTAGGGGTCAGGAAGGGAGCGTTTCTTCCAACTACTGAAAGTATTTGAAATCTATTTACCATATACCAAATCTACCTCCATTTATATTTGAATTATATACTTGAGTTATGACAAGATCACTCTCTCAAAAGAATAAGGCAAAAAGAATCAATGCAATCCCTATCAAAATACCAACAACATTTCTCACAAAACTAGAACAAATAATACTAAAATTTGTATGGAACCACAAAAGATCCCAAATGGCCAAAGCAATCTTGAGAAAGAAGAACAAAACTGGAGGTAGCACAATTCCAGATTTCATGATATACTACAAAGCTGTAGTAATAAAAACAGTATGGTATGGGCACAAAAACAGATACACATAGATCAATGGAACAGAATAGAGCCCAGAAATAAACCCACACTTATACAGTCAATTAATATATGACAAAGGAGGCAAGAATATATGAGGAAAAGAAAGTCTCTTCAATAAATGGTGCTGGGCAAACTGGATAGCTACATGAAAAAGAATGAAACCAGACCACTTTCTAACACCATCCACAAATATAGACTCAAAATGGGTTAAAGACCTAAATGTGAGACCTGAAACCATAAAAATCCTAGAAGAGATAGTCATTTCTTTGACATCAGCTGTAGCAACATTTTTCTAGATACGTCTCCTAAAGCAAGGGAAACAAAAGCAAAAATAAGCTATTAGGACTACATCAAAATAAAAAGCTTTTGCACTATGAAGGAAACCATCAATAAAACAGAACGGCAGCCTACTGAATGGGAGAAGATATTTGCAAATGGTATGTCCAATAAGGGGTTAATATCCAAAATATATAGGGAATTTATACAACTCAACACCATAAAAACAAACAACCCAATTAAAAAATGGGCAGAGGACCTGAATAGACATTTTTCCAAAGAAGACATCCAGATGGCCAACAGACACATGATAATAAAGTGCTCAACATTGCTAATCATCAGGGAAATGAAAATCAAAACCACAATGAAATATTACCTTACACCTGTGAGAATGACTAAAATAAAAAAGACAAGAAATAACAAGTGTTGTTGAGGATGTGGGAAAAAAAGGAACTTCATACACTGTTGGTGGGAATGCAAATTGGTATAGCTACTGTGCAAAACAATATGGAGGTTCCTCACAAACTTAAAAAGAGAATTACCATAAGATCCAATAATTCCACTACTGGGTATTTACCCAAAGAAAATAAAAACATTAATTTGAAAGGATATATGCACCCCTATGTTTATGGCAGCATTATTTACAATAGCCAAGATATAGAAGCAACCTAAGAGTCCATCGATAGACGGACGGATAAGGAAGATGTGGTACACAAACACACACACACACACACACACAGAAAGAGAGAGAGAAATATCATGCAGCCATTAAAAAAGGATGAGATTGTACAATCTGCGACAACATGGATGGACCTAGAGGGTATTATACTAAGTGAAATAAGTCCAACTGAGAAAGACAAATACTACATGATTTCACTCATATGTGGAATCTTAAAAAAAATGAATAAACAAACAAAAAGCAGAATCAGCCCTGTAAACATAGAGAACAAACTAATGTTTGCCAAAGGGTGTGGGAGATAGGCAAAATGGGTGAAGGGAGGGGAAGATACAGACTTCCAGTTACGAAATGAATAAATCATGGAAATAAAAAGCACGGCATAAGGAATACAGTCAATAATATTATAAATAACAATGTTTGGTGATAGATGATAGCTATACTTGTGAGCATAGCATAGTGTTTAAACTTGTCAAATAGCTACCGTGTATTCCTGCAACAAATAGGACATTGTGTGTCACCTACACTCAAATAATAAAAAAGAATAAGACAAAAAATAAAGGAAGAGAGAGAGTGATAAAGAAAGTGAAAGAGGGAGGGAGAGAGGGAAAATGTGAGAGAGGAGACAAGTTTAGAAAAAAAGATAAACAGTGATATGAGAGATTAGATGTCTACATAATTCTTTTTCCTATCCAGTTCTCATTCAGTTCACTTTGGAATATCGTAACTTTGCTGATAAAACCAATTACATGAGGTTAACTAGTGTTAACTATTTCTTTCTACAGTTTATAGAACACGTTCATTCACTGGTGATCACATCTAAGAATGTGTCCTTGTTAATTAGAACACCTTAGCAGATTACTGGGCTAAAATACATGTCTCAAATGAATAAATAAAATCTTTAAAAAAATAAAATAAAATACAGATGAAAGGTTGTGCTGGCATATATCAGGATAACAAAAGTGAAAAACACTTCTATCATTTAACTCAAAGAACTTGTAGGCCAAGTTCCAGTAGCTTCTCTCATTAACATAATTCCATTGGCTTCAGACATTTCACCCCTGCAGTTAAGAAAAGTGTCCCTAAAGTTAGGCAATTTCTGCCTCTTACAACCTCTTCGACCTTGGGAAAATTAATTAACTACCCTTGTGTCTTGGCTTCCTCATCTATAAAATGGGGGACATGGTAGCACCTACTTACTGAAGAATTAATAAGGCACTCACTGGCACACAGCAAGGGTTTAATATAAATCAACTCTTAATATATGCATGTGCTAATCCCCCATCAAAAAACCGCCTTTTCTTCTTTCCAAGATTTTATATCCAAATGCAAATGAAACTTGAGACAATGCCGAAGATTGAAGAGGTCAGATATAAAGTATCAAATTATCCCAGAAATATACAAAGCAGTGGAAAGCACCACGGTTGGCAGGTCAGGAGGGAGAGAGGTTATCCTATAATGAATGCAGTGCAGCAAAGTGGTTGAAAGTTTAGGTTTTTGGGAATCGGAATGATAAGGCATGGAGGGTCAGCTTTTCTAATTACTGTGGCAGGACTCTAAGCAAGTTACTTAACCTGTCTCACCCCCAGTTTCCTCATCTGAAAACATGTGCTGGTGCAGTAAAACAATTCCTCTTTTTTGAGGATTAAACTAGATACTTTTTAAAACGTGCCTAATACAGTGTGTCAGTATGTGGTAGCTTAAAAAATATCTTGAGTTCCAGCAATACACTCACACTTCCATTTACACGGCAGGATAAAAATAAATATACGATGGTATGATCCAGCCTCCTAAATGCTTGCAAGCCAATTGGGGAGGCCAGACAAATGGATAATGTGTAGTGGAAGACAATCTATGTTTGAATTTTCAACTTCTTCTTCTTAAGATAACATTTCTCTTTTTCCTGTTTCTTTATCCAATCATCATTCATTTTCTTATCTATCTTGTATATAAAAATTCGTGAAAGTTTTCCATCCTGAGTTGGGCTATTTAAAATGAAATATTTTATTGTGAAGAGAAGAAAAAAAGCAAACATACACAATTTCTTATGGCTTGTTTCTACCTTGTCTTAATTTATTTCTTATTAGCAGAAAAATATATTTGTTATAGAATAGAATTTTATGGCCAAGGAAGAAAGTCATTTTTGTTTTGTTTTGAGTAACGAAAAGAGAAAAACAAATAAAGCAGAGTAGAAATTGACCCTGGAGAGGAGGTCATCTTGGCAGATGCCAAAATATGAGGGGAAGGGAGGAACAATAAGGCTTGGAATATCTCAAAGACATAGGCTGAAAAATGCTTTGGTAATGGGGGGGGTTGCCTGTGATTCTATACCTACAGACATTTAAAAAAAATAAACACAACTGTTTTTCATTAAAAAAACAAAAGTTAGTTATGTTAAAGAAAAAAGCTCAACACATCTCTTTCACTGAAGGTTCTTGCCTGGAGACTTAAATTGCTGTTCAGCCTCAGTTTCCTTTCCTCAAAGGACAGGGTTGGAGAACCCACCAACTTGTAGAGTTTAAAAACATGGTGTTCAAGTGTTGTTTTACCACCAGCCTGAGAGGGAGACCTCAACCTAAACTCCTCCTCACTTAGATCCTAGTGGCTTGTTGGGTACAGAACCAACTGGAGTGTAGCCTGTACTAGGTTGCTGAGACCGTGTTGAGTGAAGAGAAACAATTTTCCACTGGGGAAATCAGCAAGTGAATAGATGGTTCATGGCAGTGTGTTCTTATCCCAGAAAGCACTAGGGGGTAACTACATGAGGGCAATAAATATATTCCCCAGAACAACATGAAACTGGAAATCATTAGACAATGATACCTATCATCGAAGGGCAAAGGGCCTGTGGCCATACCCCCCTGAACATACCTGTTGTTTTCTGATCGCAGATACTAAGCAGAAAAGGGCCTGATTAGTGCTTGGGTGGGAGACCAAGAGCAAGAGAAAAAGAGAGCTAGCCCCTGGGTCTCTGGAGAAAAAAAGTGGGTTCTCTATTGAAAGCACATTGAGAATTAATAACCCTTGCTTTACAATCTGGGCGTTAAGTGACATTTCTGAGTTTCTTCCTTAAAATCAGCTCATTTTCTTTGGTTTTGTGTTTCTGTACATCAGTTTTCATTGGGGGGTCAGAGGATATAAAGAATGAATGGGGTAAATTCAAAGGTATCAAGAGAATCAGTTAGACCCACTGATTTAAAGGGAGTCATAGAAAAGGAAGTGGGTATTTCTGGCCCACTTCTCACCCACAGTTCAAAATGCAGCTCCATTTGGACTCATGACCCAGGCTGTTTCAACACCGTGGGGCACCCACTGTTGATGTCTACAATGTTGATGAGCCTCAGGTGGAAGAAAACCACCCACCCAAAAGGCTATTTTGATAGCAACTACTGACAGTGAATTCCGTTTAATAGTCTCCAGCTTATATTCTCTAAATCCAAAACTCTGCTGGTAAGCTATCATTGCTTAACTGTCATTATTTGAAATACTAGTGGAAATGTTATCACTCTGAACCTCTGGGTAAAGCATTTTTGTTTTTCATTTTTTTTGTTTTTTGTTTTTTTGCAATCTCACCATCATTTTAATTTAGTTTACATTTCTAGTCATTTGCACAGATGTTGATGGAGCTGTATTTTTGCTTCAATGTCTATCGCAATATTCTTATTGCATTCTGCAGGTCCTCCAGTAAACGTTACTTGCAATATTTTTATCAACAGTTTTGGATCAGTCACAGAAACCACCATGGTAAGTGCTACAATGCCACTGGCAAGAGAAAAACATGACTTGATTATGCCATGAACACAACCTGTCAAATTTTCTATTTATTGTTCAACTTTCAGGGCCTCCTGTAAATGTTACCTGCAACATATTTATCAACAGCTTTGGGTCAATAGCAGAAACTACAATGGTGAGTGGGACTGAGCATTGAAGCCATCGTGTGAAGGAATGGGATATGGGATCGAAGAAGCACTGTTTTATATTGTGGGACATTTACTGAATGCCAATTTCCATGTTCATTTACCTCTAGAAAGTGATTATTTATACACTTTCACTTTAGAAAGTCTTTAGTCAAATGTTCATTACTTCAAATTCAATAATATTTTATCCATCATGCCAAAGAAATTTTGGAAACACTTGTTGTTTGGTTGGATTTAGGTAGAATTATCAGTAATAAACAGTGTAACGTTAAGGATATTTAAATATTTGTATCTCTAATGTTTCAGAAATATAAATTTCAAAGTTCGGGAGATATAGCCAGTCTTTTTCATATAATGAAAGTTTTAACACAGTCAAGCCTCAGATATGTTACATTTAAGGTATATGCCAAAGGGGCTGACCTTACAATAAACACACACACACACACACACACAAACAATCTTGTTGGCAAAAGAAAGTAGTCCCAAGTCCATAGCAATTACATCACATGCATGGCTCCCTCGCCCCCCCCAAAAAAACCCCAATAAACATAAAACTAATTATAAGCTCATCATAATGTATGTGCAAACATGTCTCGTGTACATGAAAAAAATTTCAGATACTATAAAATCCACCAATATTCCTTCTAAATGTCATGGTGATGGTGTTGCCTGTAACATAGCCTATTAGATCAATAGCCTTACAGTACTAGGCAATAGTGTGGAGACTGACTTTTGGGTGAAATTTCTTCTTGGTTCTCATACTATTTATTTTAAGTCTTAAATCAATTGGCTAATTTTCATGATTATGTAAAGTATACAGTCATATTATTGCATGAAGTCAAAATAAAATATAGTTGAGCTTGACTAAGTACTATGGTGGCTGATGTCCTAGAAACACTCAAGCGAAATAATGAGCATAATGCCATTGAGAAGTAAAAGATTTTGTTCCCTTGTCCTTATAAATTTTCTCTTTTAGGCTACTAAGATTGTGTTTAACAAATTACTGTACTTTTTGGTGTCCTTGAGCTAAAAAAAGTTATTTACCTTTTACCATTCCTTTTCACTGGCAAAATTAGACATAATGCAACTCTACTACCCATTTTAATATTACTGACACAGCATTGTCTGGAAATGAGACTTCTGGTGCTTTGACAGGATGTAGTGAATTAAGAATTTTACTCAAATAAGATAGGTTTTTTTTTCTTGAAGATTTTATTTATTTATTTGACAGAGAGAGACACGGCGAGAGAAGGAACACAAGCAGGGGGAGTGGGAAAGGGAGAAGCAGGCTTCCCACCAAGCAGGGAGCCCGATGCGGGGCTCAATCCCAGGACCCTGGGATCATGACCTGAGCCGAAGGCAGACACTTAATGACTGAGCCACCCAGGCACCCCTCAAATAAGATAGTTTTTTTTTTTTTTTAAGATTTTATTTATTTATTTGCGAGAGAGAGAATGAGAGACAGAGAGCACGAGAGGGAGGAGGGTCAGAGGGAGAAGCAGACTCCCCGCTGAGCAGGGAGCCCGATGCGGGACTCGATCCCGGGACCCCAGGATCATGACCTGAGCCGGAGGCAGTCGCTTAACCGACTGAGCCACCCAGGCGCCCTAAGATAGTTTTGATAGGGTTATTAAATGACTCACAAGACAAGGTAAACATAGAAAGACTAATCCAGCTCCGGACTTGGCATTCAGTTTCTGTCTCTCCCCTCTTGGTTTTATCCTGAGAACAGAGGGGCAAATCTTCCAGCAGCCCAAATCACCGTACCAGCTTTACACCATGGCGTTCAATGACGGTATTTGCACGACCTAATGCTGATTGCATTAATTAGACTCCTACGTTGCTTTGATTAAATCTCCCCATTGCATTTACCCTCAATCAAAAATGTAAATGTGCACTTTTTCAATGTTTATTAATGCGAGAAAAAGCTAAACACTCATGGAGATGAAAACGGAAACTCTGGATGTCCTTGTTTTCCCGTGTCTTCAATAGCTACTGAAGGTGTTTAATAAATGGTCTGCTTAGGTGCTTCCTGGCCACTTATTAAGGTGTCCTTTGTCATGTTTCCTATGAGAAAACTTGGAAATCACTGCTCAAGTGTAAAATGAACAGCCTGCCTATCTTGCCTTTTGAGATAGACTGAATCTCATGGTCAGAACAGTGATGCATATTGTGCTTCTTTTCTTTCTTAGCTTTTGATGGAATGACAAACTTCATTTGGCTTTTAAAAAGGTTCTTTTCTTTTCTTCAATTAAAGCTTGTGTGTGAAACTAAAATAAATATTTTTGGAAACTCTATCATGCTTAATAAATCCTCATGCCGTGTAGGGTAGGGACGGGCCAACATTTTTTTCTGTAAAAGGCCAGACAGTAAATACTTAAGACTTTGAGGGCCTGCCAGTCTCTGTCACCACACTCAATTCTGCCCTTTGGGCAGGAAAACAACCATAAACAATAGTAAGCAAATGGGTGTGGCTGTACTCCAAAAAGCAGGCCATAGATTGCCAACCCTGGATCTGAGGCATCAGTATTTAAATAGATGTTAAGCGGATGCTCAAAAGAATATGAGAGTTGCTCCACCTTGAAAGGGTCTATCTTGCTAGACCCATGGGGCCCTGCCTGGGAATCCACCCTCTGAGTTACAGAATATCATTGCAGCCCAAACTTCCCTTAACCAAACCTTGAGAGTCCACCACCCGTGAATTGACCCATATTTTCACAAATTCTGACTGAAAGAAAATTGGTCAAAAAAGTTAAACAGAACCAGATTTTTCTCTGAACTGTCTTTAATTGAATTCAGAACATCAGACCCTTAGTTTTTCTGCACGGTAATGTATGTGGTCACTGAGGACACGGCTGTGCTATTAGGGAGCAATAATAATTTTGCTTTCTCTCTGTGTTCTGGAATGAATTTTTCCAAGAATGCCTCAGAATTTTGAGTTTCTAAACAGGTTGATTTTCCCCTCTTCCCTCATGCTCCATTCTCACTCTACAACCCCGATAGCCTTATTGAAGGATCCAGTTTGGGTATTTGTTTGTTTCTAAATAAGAGGCAATGACTATCCATTTTAAGAACTCAGGATGACTTTCTTCTGGTGCTATCGAGTTTGCCCCTCTTATGTTTGATATTATCTCACTAAATTATTGTTGGTACTACCTGCCCACAAAGTATAGGCTCACTTACAGACCCAATACTGCCTCTCACTCCTCTCATGTGTTAGTGTTGAATATATGTGATCGGAAGACAACGTATTTGTGTTATCTAAGGAAAATTTTTATGAATCATTATGATGATATACATTATTCCAAAATACACACTTTTTTTTTTTTTTTAAGTAGGCTCCATGCCCGGCGTGGAGGGCATGGAGCCCAACCTGGGGCTTGAACTCACAACCCTGGGATCAAGACCCGAGCTGAGATCAAGAGTCAGATGCTTAACCGACTGAGCCACCCAGGCGTCCCTAAAATACACACTTTTCTTCATGAAGAGTCACAAGGATCTGTTGATGGTCACTGCTAGTTGGCCCTGTATTAAGAGATTTCAGTAGAATAATCTTTTTGTGGTTCCAAACAACTTAGGAGACTAGTAAGGGATGTATGGTGAAACAGTTTATATTTTGTCTGGAGAATGTCAGTTTACCTTTTCTTTTTCTTTCTTTCCCCCTTTTCTTTTTTTTTTTTAATTTATTTTTTAATTTTATTATGTTGTTAGTCACCATACAATAATACATCATTAGTTTTTGATGTAGTGATCCACGATCCATTGTTTTCATATAACACCCAGTGCTCCATGCAGTATGTGCCCTCCTTAATACCCATCACCGGGCTAACCAATCCCCCCTCCTCCCTCCCCTCTAAAACCCTGGTTGTTTCTCAGGTCCATAGTCTCTCATGGTTCATCTCTCCCTCCAATTCCGCCCCCCCCATTTTTCCCTTCCTTCTCCTAATGTCCTCCATGCTATTCCTTATGTTCCACAAATAAGTGAAACCATATGATAATTGACTTTCTCTGCTTGACTTATTTCACTTAGCATAATCTCCTCCAGTCCCATCCATGTTGATGTAAAAGTTGGGTATTCATCTTTTCTGATGGCTGAGTAATATTCCATTGTATATATGGACCACATCTTCTTTCTAACTGAGATAGAAGGTGACCTTTGTCTCTAAATTAACAGTGCAATGTTACAGCCTGAATTCATCATAAAACAACTGCACCCCTCCCCATAATTCCAAATTCAAGGCTAACTTCCCATATCAAAGCTAGCACAGACTCAGGAGGATGAAAACTTTACTGCAGTGTAGCCAGAGGTTAAAACCAAAGGGCCACATTGGCACTGTGGGGAATCAACAAAGCATATCCTTATGGTTGATAACTTTACAACATAATTGGATTGAGAAATGTATACATATAAAAATAATAAGAGAGTAACAGTAAGATTTAATATGAGTATGTATGAGACAGAGTGGCAATCTCTGTGCATAAATGCTAGACCAAATACAATAGTACCAAAATAATTCAATTTAAGGAAACGATCTGTGCCACAGGCATAGCATTAGAAGGTATTAGGAAAAGTGAAACTTTAGAAATAATAAACTCGATATAAAATAATAGTATGGAATGTAGGTACTCGTAGTACCTGTGTTAAGAATATAATAAAGATTGGGCGCCTGGGTGGCTCAGTCGTTAAGCATTTGCCTTCGGCTCAGGTCATGATCCCAGGGTCCTGGGATCGAGTCCCACATCGGGCTCCCTGCTCGGCAGGAAGCCTGCTTCTCCCTCTCCCACTCCCCCTGCTTGTGTTCCTGCTCTCGCTATCTCTCTGTCAAAAAAAAAAAAAAGAATATAATAAAGATTATATGACTTAAACACAGCATTTGAAAAAATACATACATATTTGCATATACATATATGTATATAAATTCGAATGTTTCCATGACCTAATCTAATACCCAGAGAGTCAATCATAGGAAAACAAATTGTAATACAAGGAAATATGACATTTATTTGAAGTAGAATATGTCTTTGTAGAGAGAAGGCAGTGTAAAAGAAAATTCAGTCTGCATTTAAGCATGTCTCTCAATATTTACTCTGCCTTTAATATTTTATTAAACCTAGAAGCAAACACAAAGACAAAGAAAAACTACAGAAGAATATAACTATCTCCTGTGGTTTGGAATATCATGAGGAAATAAACTTATCTCTAAATAAACAGAGATGATGCGCAGAGAAATCACATTTGTCAAATTTTTATCCTACATTGAAAATCATAGTGAACTGAGAGAATTACAGAGGTCCAGCCCCAGAAGATCTTTTCCTTGGATGTCTATGTCTCTAGTTCCTTGGGTGTCCTTTTCTAAAAGGTTTTAAGGGTTGCTATTTATTTTAGAATAGTGTGTATCATCATAAACAAAAGTATGGAAAACTATAATTCCTATACATTTATATAAAGGATACTTCCAAAAGAAGTTGTATTTCACATAATTCCTGTCATTGTGGCATAAACTGTATTTTTTCTCTAAGTTTTCTACTTATCCTTGCTTACAAATAGGATTCATTTATTTTAAATTAACTGTTTAAATTAACTGTTAGACATTTAATGGTTCTAATGTGATATGATAGATTCAGTATTCTTTTTAAAGTTCTAATATTGGAAGAATCTATTTTATCATTTTCTATATATAAAATTCAAAGTAGGAGACCAGGAAACACGGGAGAAGAATGCTCATGGGAAAGACTTTTTTAAAAAAGATGTACATTAGTTGTGAAAATTTATATTGATTTTTTTAAAGGTCAGTGTTTTCATATTGTATGTCATCATGTAATATTTTCTAGAGTCTTTCAATATACAGCTTTAAATCATTCTCAGGCTCAAGGGAGGATTGCAGTGATGTTCTCTTAGTGATTTCACTGCCCAGTACTGTCTGTCTGGCTTCACTGGCCTTTCCCATCCTACAACTGCTTCCTAGACAGGGCCGGGAGCCTAGTTGGCTTCCCAATGGCCTAAGATATTTAACACATTCACCTCTACTATTTCTAGCTGTCATTGCTTCTCATACTTAGAGTTTCTCTACCTCCAGAATTCTCTAAGGGATGAAATTCTCTGAAATTCTCTTTTCTCCTACTTCCTACTGAAACAAGCTCATAGACCATCCCTCACCCACACACACACCATTTTGTTAAGGAAAACTGGCTTTTACTCAAAGGGATATAACAGGGGTGGATGTCAAACACTGGAGAAGCTGCATTTTTTCCCTCAGAAAACCTTAAGGAAAGCTCACAGTTCATGTATCTAGTTCATACTTATATGTAAATTGGATTATTGTATTTTCAATAGCCCCTTTTTTTGATTTTCTACATATCACACATCCTCACTCTTTATTCACACACAATTCCAAAGCTTCCAGTAACTCCTGTTGCCAATGAAACACCGAGCTGGTAATCTCTTTCCACTTAAAATCCTCTGGTCCCTTTGAACAATTCCAAAACTATATGATGGGAACAACTTTGAGGTTCTGCTATTCCCTTGATTCACTCACTGGAGGAGTCAGTGAGCAAACAGGATGGGATGGAAGCCTGACTGGGCCCACAACAGTGCCCTCTTAGGTTTGAAAATTTGCCATTCATGCCTGGTAAAATCCCAAATAAAAGTCCGCTGATAAATTTTCCAAGTCAGAAAATTCTTAATGCTGTACAACAGAGAACCTTAAGGTTATTTCTTTTAATATCAACCTTTCCAAATGAGCTGGGTTTTGATGACTGATTTTCAGAAGTTAGTAACTATTTGATTATTAGCATTCTTTAAGCCTACATTGGGCACTATTTCCAAGAACTGCCATCTCCAAAATACTCTATCAGCCTGATAAATCAGGATGGCTGTATTTGGAAAAAATGTCCTAGGAACTTGGATAGTTTAGTAATAGGTAGAAGGAACTGGATTGAAGCTCTTTTCCATATACCCTAATCTTTATAACTTATTTTTTTTTTCTTTTGGTCCTGAGGGAATGAACCAAAACTGACCACCCTGAGGTGTCTCCACTCTACCTAGTAGAATAACCAACCATCCTGGTTTTATCTAGAAGTGAGTGGGTCCCCTGAATGTGTGACTTTGGGGGCTAAAAGTGGGAGGTTCTCAGGTAAACCAGGATAAGTTGGTCACCATTAGAGTAAAATAAACAATGACCAAAACTCCAGGTAACAAAGATGTGGGGATGGAGCAAATGGTGAAAAAGGAAAAGGAAAGAGAGTAACAAGGTATGAGTATGTATCACTCTAAATGACCATAAGTATCAGGAGTGAACAACTATTAGTTCTGAACTATAGTCCCACTTGACTAGGGAATACTGTTAAAGCCTCTTTTGGGGTCCACTCTACCAAGGAAAGCAACAGTTTCCATGAACCTAAAGACCTTTGAGTAGAAATTCCCAGAAGAGAAGTCACTGCCCCAGGCTGATTTACTGGCAAAGAAGTAAATTCCCAGATCAAGTGGGAATGACAGGATGTACCTGAGTCTCCCATAGGGAGGAACACCTTTGTCAGAAGGTGCTCAGATTAGGAAAACATGAAAAAGATCTCTGTATTGATGAAGTATCAAGTCAACTACTACAAATACAACCTATTCAGAGAAATGATAAAATATTTAAGAATTTGAAAAGTAAGTAGTGTGAGGGAATTATCTTGTCAACATGAAGCATCTTAATACTTATGTAAATGAATTTAAAAAATACTGCCCCATCATGTCAGATTTTATAATAAGATTTCCACTACCAAAATTACAGAATGGGTTTCCTTCTGCCCAGAGCATCTGAGCAGTATGAGAATAGAGATCATGTTATTTCTGATTTGGAAAATGAATCAGTTTTGAAAATCTACCATCACAGTCTGACTTCTGTACTCATGGTTACCTTTTTCTATGGAGAAATCAGCTTGAGTTAGTATTATTTCCTCCCAGGACGAATGATTTAAATTTAAGCATAAAAAAAATTCAACCAACTCAGTGTGTTCCATTAGTGTTCTGGTTTGGTTGAGCCTTCTTTCTTTCTCCCCTCTGTTCCCACTCCTAATAGAACAGAGTGGTTTATTTTGACCAAGATATACAGAGCCTGGTTCATACAGACACCAATACTGTGCTAAATCAGGGAGAAGAGTGATGGGAAATGTAGATGGACCTCTTACGCCAGACTGCATGATAAGTAACTCTTATGCATGGGGTTTCTATAGGACTACCGAGTGAACATTTTTCTGAGACAACAGTGGAATGATTCACGGCTGGCATATAGCGAGTACCCTGATGATTCCCTGGACTTGGACCCATCCATGCTGGACTCCATTTGGAAACCAGATTTATTCTTTGCCAATGAGAAGGGTGCCAACTTCCATGATGTCACCACCGACAACAAATTGCTTCGAATTTCAAAAAATGGCAAAGTACTGTACAGTATCAGGTAAGCTTCTGTTGGCTGTACCTGTTTCCTTCTCCATTTTTCTCCTGGCCTGCTGCTGCCTGATTCTGAGGGTAAGATGTATATAAATATTTGACTTTTGTGGTCTCTTGATTGTCATTTGAATCTTAAAATTGGTGAGAATGCCAGAGGTTCCCACGGTCTCAGAAGTGTGATTCTCCACAAAAAAAATATATTTGGAAAAAATATATATATGTATTTGGTAAGATGGGGGGTGGATATCATGTAAATACCTACATACATGTATTTTTGATTGCTTCAATAAAAGAAGTACAGGCCTTTAGTTCAATTAATCATTGAGCATAATGTAAAATTCTCCATTTCAAATAATTTTGCCATTCTATAACATGTAACCACACAAACAAAAACATTGAATGGCTCAGCATGGTCACTGACAATATACTTTGGGCTGGGTGAGTGAAAAACTGGTTCTAATCTCAGATCTGCTTCTAACAAAACATGTAACCATGATCTCTTAACTTTTCCTGGGCTTGAGCTTGGGAGTGACAAATCTTGAGATCCATTTTTGCTTTTACATTCAAATGTGATCTTCTCCAGAATCTTTATCACCCCGACCTCAAAATCATATCTTTCTTTACTGAACTCTAGTTCCTCTGTGACTCTATAAGGCTCTTATTTCTTCCTACCTCATATTTTGGCTATTTCTGTATGAATTTAGCATAAGAACATGGATCTTTGGAATCACACAATCTAGAATCAAATCCAAACTTTGCCACTAAGTTACATCACCTATAACCCTCAGTTACCTAATTGTAAAATGGGAAACACTATATTTATCTCTAAGTATTCTTGTGAGAATGAATGATATAGAGATCAGCAAATATTTTCTGTAAAGGTCCAGACAGTAGGTACTTCAGCTGTGTAGGCCAGACTGTCTCAACTCTGTCACAACTACTCAACTCTACCATTGTAGCACAAAAGCAGCCATAGACAATACTCAAACAACTGAGTGTTCTGTGCTTCAGTAAAATGTTATTTATAAAAACAGAGAGTGAATTAGATTTGGTTCTTTGGCCATAATTTGCCAATCTCTGATACAGCGTATATAAAAATACTTGCCACAGTACCCGACACAACATATGTGCTCAATAAATGAGATGACAGCTGTCTGTATTTTAAAGTTAATGTTCTTTCTAAATAGTAAGCTCTTTAAAGCCAAGACATTTGGATTTTGCACCTTCTGTAACTCCTCCCAAAGATCCAGGATGATGTACTGTATATGAGAGATATTTATTTTATTTTATTTTATTTTTTTAAAGATTTTATTTATTTATTTGAGAGAGAGAGAATGAGAGACAGAGAGCACGAGAGGGAAGAGGGCAGAGGGAGAAGCAGACTCCCTGCTGAGCAGGGAGCCCGATGCGGGACTCGATCCGGGGACTCCAGGATCATGACCTGAGCCGAAGGCAGTCGCTTAACCAACTGAGCCACCCAGGCGCCCTATGAGAGATATTTAATACATTAAACAAATACTGACATTTTAAAGATTCTTTGTAGAAGTTCCCCTTCCCCTCCAATCTTATTACAAAAGAAAATGGACAGCTTGTATCCTTGCAAATAATTTTCAAAAGTCTGTAGAGTCACCACCATCAAAACCTCATTTCACAACTCTCTATACAATTTAGGTCTGTACCGTGTATTCCATTCTTAACCTAGTAATTTCACAGTTTGCTGATGGCTGACAGACCGAATGTCTTGTGGAATGAAAGAGGCTGCTCATTAATAAAAATTGGCAAAGTCATTGCTTACACAAAAACAAGGAAACTTCCTCCACTTGATTTTTAAGGAACTTTATTTTTATTTTTATAAACATTTAAGATATGAGGAATTCTTAATCTCAGGAAACAAACTGAGGGTTGCTGGAGTGGTGGGGGGTGGGAGGGATGGGGTGGCTGGGTGATAGACACTGGGGAGGGTATGTGCTATGGTGAGCGCTGTGAATTGTATAAGACTGTTGAATCACAGATCTGTACCTCTGAAACAAATAATACATTATATGTTAAAAAAAAAAAAGGAAGAAGATAGCAGGAAGGGAAAAATGAAGGGGGGGGGAATCAGAGGGGGAGACGAACCATGAGAGACTATAGACTCTGAGAAACAAACTGAGGGTTCTAGAGGGGAGGGGGGTGGGAGGATGGGTTAGCCTGGTGATGGATATTAAAGAGGGCACATTCTGCATGGAGCACTGGGTGTTATGCACAAACAATGAATCATGGAACCCTACATCTAAAACTAATGATGTAATGTACGGTGATTAACATAACATAATAAAATAAAAAAATAAATAAAATAAACATTTTATGGAAACACAGAATATTTCACATGGTGAAGTGTTTGGTGTAAGATGCAGTATTGGGCACAACCTAAGTTGATGTGACCTGATGAAATGGGACATATGTAGATCGTGGTGCTAGGGAGGAGAGTTATAAAAAGCAGCACAGGGTATCAGCAGCTCCAGCTAACCCCCTGAGCCTTGGGTAGCATTTGCTCTAGTAAATACCTGGCATCGTGCACTGCTGAAATAAAACCAAGTTTTTTCCCTTCTGTTCTATGAAGGCCTTTCCATTCTAGAACCATGAAGAATATAATGTTCCCCAGACCCAGATCCAGAGGCAATTCTTCTATCTCTCATTCCCAGTGTAGCATATTATAAGCTCTGAAACACCCTGACAATTGTTTTGGATTGGGTAGAGTTTGTCCTGTCGCAGGCTGGTTTAAATTTTTCCTTCATTGTGGGTGTTCTATGGAATCAGAGGAAAGATCCTTGGTGTAGGAGAACTGGGCATGTCATTTTAGAGAAACACAGCTCTTGGCAGATTTGAGCTACAGGAATCTAATTATTTGCCTGGAAGGATTTTCAATGAGCCAGACACTGTGCTGGGCCTGGAGATCCAGAACTGAGTAAGATACAGTCCTGCCCTGGAAGGGCTCCAGTCTAACAAGGCAGGCAGAGATAAGATAAATTAAGTAATAGGAATAAATGACAAACAAGGAAAAGAAAAGTGGCTCTAACTTTGCAAATGAATATGTGACTCAAATATTGTTAGAATTTGGGGGCTGGCACCTACATATCTGTTTACTTGAGTCACTGAACTCAATTTAACTAGAAGGCAAGGAGTAATTAGTGCTAATAAATGCCCAGCTGCAGGTCTGATTCAAGTTTAAAGCCAAGCAGGTGACAGTATCTGATGTTTTAAAGGTGCTGGAAAGATTCCTGCTGATGTTGCATTAGGGAGGATTTTCCCTCTACTCTCAGGTTTACAATGCAAATACCCCTAGAAGAAGGAATCCATTGACTTAAATTCATACTAAGATATAAGGAGCTGATATGAAATTTTCATTCTGACAGTACATTTGAGGCCTATGAAGAATAGTGAGAACGAGCAAGTTGGATGCCTGAGACGAGAAATCAGGATGAAGAGGGTTAAGAAAGATACAAGGAAGGGATACAACAGAAGTACCAAAGATAAATTCATGAATTGTCTCTACCTTACATATTTAAATAACTACTTAAACATTGGTCCACATTAAAAAAATTATGTTCTTTGTGACGTTTTATATATGCATTTTCTGAAACCTAAAACAAATAGATGATAGCATTTCATCCACAAACAATTCCATGCTTCCTTAGCTTTGTAGGAGCAGAAGTAAAATTAACTCCACATGGAAACCAAAGCCTAAGGCTTTGATGGCCGAACAGAATACAAAGAGAACTATGCAGTCCATTGATTTCATGACAAGCAAGATCACACTTTCCAAGAAGTTTCTTAAAAGGCAGCAGTTTAAAAAAGAGGGGACAGTAGACCAGAACTCCACAAGTGTCCTGCAGATCCAAACACCTGGGGTACTTTAGTAAAATTCAAACAAATCTTTTAAATAGGAGCCAAAGGTGTTAGCTCATTGTTGGAAAATTTCTATCCAGTGTGGCAGGACACAAGTCTTTGCTGATGAAAAAGTGTCAAATCTATTTTTGTCCACTTCTCTTCTGATTTCTTCTTTGATATTCTCTTCTCTAATACATTTGATCTTACTCTTTGTTTTCTTTTTAAGTTTTTTGTTGACCCACTCCATTAAGTATTGATCATCCCTGACCAAAATATAAACAAGGACATACATCTTGCTTTGTATATGCCCTTCAGAGACAGTCAAATTCTAAACTCATGTTACTTAAAAAGGCCTGAATCCATAGTGGAATAGTGAGGTGAGGCTTGGGTATTGTACATATTATTGCTCAAACAATATTTGTTGAATTGAATATAATGGATTGAAGTAAAAGTCAGGGCACCGTGGCATATGGTGTGTAATATGAAAGAAAAAAAGAGAAGGTATTTTTGGAGAAGGTATTTTTGTCTCACTCGTCCACAATGTCTTTGCTAATAATTTGTTTTCTTTCTTTACTTTCCATTGCTTCTGAGAATTTTATGCCAGCATTCTGACTTTTATAGAAGCATAGGATTATTTTTTTTTTAATTTGAAGGTATTATGTTGCAAAGTATCTAATCCAACACCCTTGTTTTACCAATGAGGAAGTGACTTCTTTCATCAAGTTAGGTGAGGTAAAATAATGGAGCCCATAGATAGGAAAGGTAGGTCAAGAATCAAACTCTTGACTTCTATTTCAATGCTATCGTCTCCTACCCCACATTAATTCTTCATTTGCTCCAACTCAAGTCCAAAGACACAAACAAATACAATTCCAAAGGCATGTCATTTTGGAACCAACCTTTTTGGAACTCATTTTTCAAAGAACTATTGGAGGAAGAAGATAAGAATTAAGATGAGAACATAAAGTATCTTCAAATTTTGCAAATGTCTGAAAAGACTGTTTAAATTCAAGGTGCAACAGTTGACTTTCAGTTCAAGGTGCAACAATGTCAAGATCGATTTGATAGTTTTACATAGCATATGTCACTAACATAGCATATCTACTTTCTGAAAAATTTTACTATCCCAGGGATGAA